CTAGCCAGAGGAAGTCAGTGTATATGTGTTGTTGTTAGGTGCCGTCAAGTCAGCTCCAACTCATAGCAACCCTAGTAATACAGAACGAAACACTGCCCAGTCCTGCACCATCCTTACAATCCTTGCTGTGCTGGAGCCTGTCTTTGCAGCCACTGTGTCAATCCCCCTGTCACTGAAGGTCTTCCCCTTTTTGGCTGATCATCTACTTCACCAAGCATGATATCCTTCTCCAGGGGCTGGTCCCTTCTCATAACATGATCAAAATAGGTGAAATGAAGTCTGGCCATTCACATTTCTAAGGAGCATTCAAGCTGTACTTATAGAACAAATTTGTTTGTTCTTCTGGCAGTTCATGGTATTTTCAGTATTCTTTACCAACACCACAATTCAGTGTAGATGTAGTCCTTTCTTATCCCTTACCACTGCCTTGAGAAATACAAATACTGTTACCTTCCCACTCAGCTATGTCTGTGCAAGTTTGTCAGGGTGAGTTGTTCATCTTCTTTCTCAGGTCTTCCAGAGGCGGAACACTGGGCAGCTGGATTTCTTCAAGCGTTGGCGGAGCTACGTCGAAGGCTTTGGGGATCCCATGAAGGAATTCTGGCTTGGTATGCGTTCTGAAATCCAGGAGATCTGGGTTTGGAGGGGTGATTTTTCCCTTGAAAAAGTGACCAGACAGTTTGAGGAAGCTCATAGCACTCAGGGAAAAATCCAGGTAACACGGACCTTCTGAAGATCCTACAGACTAGTGTTAGTGGGGCCATATTGCTGGGAAAGTTCTCATGAGCTCTGGCCCTATGAAAGGGTAGGACTGTTACAAGATGGTTTTTATGCTGTATCTACACCTTACGGGATCTTCCTGGAGCCTGAATTTACAAACCACAGTAATAGGAGAATAGTTTATTGATTGAGATTCTGGGTTGTTATCAAGGGGTAATTCCAGTAGCCTCTGAAATTCTGCTAGTGATGCCAGTCATCATGAGCATTGTTTTTCCCTTTTCCCTGTGCCATATTCTGGAACAGATGCTCATAGAGCATGAAATGGCCAAAAACACCAACTGGGAAATGAGTAATTAAAAAATCATAATCTGGATATTTAGATTCTGAGTTGATGACGTTTGCGGTTTGCTTGGTACAAAGTCCCCTGCACAGACCTTAGAAGAAGTAATCTACTTTCCTACTTGGTGAGATAAGCAGATGATGCATAGCCTGCTTCTTCTTTAGAGAGATGGAGTCAATGGAAGCAGGCTCATCCCAGTGCACCTGCCACTACTCCCTTCCACAGGACGTGGTTCACATGCTCATAAGCATGACTGTACCAGGGATATAATAGGATGAGAAAATAAGCCCCCCCCCCCCAAAGAGAAAGTGTTGGGGAGGACTCTCATTAGCAAAGGCAGTCAAAGGCTAAGGTGATTTTGGTCCTGAAAGTTTCAGATGCAAAGGTGAGTGCTCTCACACATGGGTTGATTGGCTATTGGAATGCCATTCTCTATTTTTAGGACTTGACAAGCTACACAATCTCACCACTGGCTCTCCTTCTCAGTATGAGGTGAGAGTGGATTTACAGACGGCCAACGAGTCTGCCTATGCTGTGTATGATTTCTTCCAAGTGGCCTCCAGCAAGGAGCGGTATAAGTTAACCGTTGGGAAATACAGAGGCACAGCAGGTAAGAAAAAATGTTTTCTTACTGCTAGGGTCTCTTGCTGTCTGTGTGTCTAAGGATTGGCTTGCCACATGCCATGTATCTGGAGGTGGAATATTGTTTTGCAGAGGTGAATCGTCTACACTGAAAATTGACGGCCTACTCCCTGCCGTGGCTGGGAGGGAACAAAGTGGGCAAGACAATCCATGACCATCATAAAACTGGAACTTTTGTACGTTATATATACACATCCCCCTAATCCTCTCATCTTGTTCTCCCCAGATTCAGGCTGTTGTGCATTAGCAGATGAACCCTCATTATGGGCATTTGCCTGGTGCCTGCCAATCTTCCTTTCAGCCTCTGCAATGTACTGTCAACTTTGTCTTCACAGCAGTGTGTGTTATTATTTAAAATTTCTATGGCTTTTTGCCATAAGTGAGGCCAGAAAAATGAAAATGCTGATTCAAATAATAAGAAGTATAGGTCTTATTAACTTAACACAACTGTGACAACACAGAAATTAGCAATTGAGCCGGCAGCAGGGAATCTTTAGCCTTGATTAGCTGCTCATTGGGTTTAAGCCAGTTGATAGTGTGTTCAGTTGTGAAGGAAAAGAACAAAATTAAGCAACTGAAATACTGGAATTATACCATTGACATTTTATCTAAGAGGGAAAGTATGGCTAGTGTTTTAATACTGTGTTTTAAAGCCCTAACAAGTAAGTCTGTTGTTTGACTTTTACATGTTTGTGGCATACCTTGATGTAACGTGTAATGTGTTATGAGTAAAAGGTGACTGACTGTATAAGACATAGTCTGTCCCCTTACTCACATGTAGATAGATGAATAATAATATAAATAAAAGAGCCAAGTAAGTAGTAAGGAAAATAGTGAACTTCAGGGGTGTGAAGAAGATGGGTACATTGTGGACTAGTACAATTGGAGGAAGCTCTTGAAGGACAGTGGGTAGGGATTTGTGTCAGAAGGAAGGGTAGAACTTAGATAAAGGGAAATGGATGGACACTCATGGCCTGAGAAAGTCTAGTGTTAAGCAAGGACTGTGCAGAGCAAGGAGATTGGGGTGTGCTCTTACTTTTTTAATTCTGATAAAATATACACAGCATATAATTTACCTTTTTGACCATTTTTCAGGTCTGTAGTCCAGTGGCATTAACCACACTCACAGTGTTGTGCAACCATCACTGCTATTTGTTTTAAAACTTTTTCATTACCCTAAACAGAAACTGTATCCACAAAGCAGTAACTCCCCATTCCCTCATAACCAACCCCAGCTCGTGGTAACCACTAACCTACTTTCTATCTCTATGAATTTGTCTAGTCTAAATATTTCATATAAATGGGATCATGCAATATTTGTCCTTTTGTGTCTGGCTTATATCACTATAATATATGTATGTAATATAATATATATAATATTATATTATGTATGTATAATATATATTGTATATAATTGGGAGCTCTGGCAGCATAGTGCCAAAGACACTTGACTGTTTACCAGAAGGCTGGTAGTTCAAACCCACCAGTCACTCCTCGGAAGAAAGGTTGGGCAATCTACTTCCATAGTGATACTGCCTCAGAAACCCAAGGAGAGGTCGCTATGAGTTGGGTCTGACTCGTTGACTTTTGGGGCTGTCAGTGAAGAGATGAGTTTGGTGACATGGTGACATGGTAGGAGACAAAGTGGGAGGGACTTGGGCTCCAGACACAGAGTTGGTCAAGTATTCTGAGTAGGGATTAAGTGAGGAGAGTATGTAAAAGATTGTTGGGGGGGTGGGGTGGGAAACGATCCTTGGAACAAAAGGTGCTGCAGCTTGAAAAGCCTACACTGCTTTAGATATTGTTGCTTCTCTTTTCATGCTAGGCAGCCTTTTCTATTGTACTTCATCCACTCTAAAGGAGCCTTTGTGGCAGTGCTTAAGCACTGGGCTGCTAACTGAAAGTTTGAACTCACCGGCTGCCCCAAGGGACAAAGATGTGGCAGTCTGTTTCTGTAAAGATTTACAGCCTTAGAAATCCTCTGTGGCAGTTCTACTCTGTCCTATAGGGTTTCTATGAGTTGAAATTGACTCTGTGGCAATGAGTAACAGGTACAGCCACTCAAAGTGCAATAAAAGAAAGAAACAAAAAACCAGTTGCACTTGAGTCCATTCTGACTGAAAGAGATCTTGTGGGTGTCAGAGTAGAACTGTGCTCCACAGAATTTTCTTTAAAAAAATTTTTTTTGATTGTGATTTGGGTGAAAGTTTGCAGAGCAAGTTCGTTTTCCATACAGCAGTTCATACATATTTTGTTTCATGACATTGACTGCAATTCTCCACAATGTAACAGCTCTCTTCCCCCTTCCTCCCTTTGGTAACCATTACCCTGTGTCCTTCTTACCTATGCATTCCTGCCCTCTGAGCTATCTCCCTGTGCAAATACTGCCCTTCTGTGCTCCCATGACTCTCCATAGGGTTTTTAATGGCTAATTTTTCAGAAGTAGATTGTCAGGTCTTTCTTCCCAGGTGCCTCTGGGTGGATTTGAACCTCCAACCTTTCAATTAGTAGCTTACCAGTTGTTCACCGTTTGTACCATCCAGGGACTTCCAAAGTACAATATAAAACACAAAAGTTCAGTCATAGAACAAAGACATTTAAAATACCGTTGGAAAACAAAGATGGATAGTCATATGATTATAAGGATATTAACTGTAGGAAAAGGATTTTAAAATGTCATTTTGTAGGACTAAGCACTCTGTCTACCCTTTATCTACTTATCTCTAAACAAGATCAGACTACATTCTTGACAGCTTTTTCCAGGATCTCCCAACCCTTTGGTGTAATGGGCTGTGCACATCCTGTCTCCCTTAAACCTCTCGGGCATCCTCCTGCTCTTGGTCTCACAGAGGATATCTTTTGTCACGAAACATGTCTTTTGTCATATGAGGTCACACAGTCACCCCTTTTGTCTTAAATACCCCATTCACTGTTCTTGACCATGATGATCAGCTGGCTCAGTCTTCTTCCTCAGACTAAAGAGTCTCTGCCTTCAGAGACTTCATTCATGGGACCTTCCCCAGAATGAAGTTGGAGTATTGCCTTTGGCATCTGAGCCTCACTTCTGTCCCCAGTACCTGGTGCCCTTAGTGGCCTCCTAAGAGGTACATCACTCAGACCTACCCTCCCAGGGGATGTTTTCTGCCACCATTAAATGTTACCATTTCTGAGGCCTGCCTTAAAATAATCTGCTAAATGCTCACATGAAAGTGAGTAGAAGGGAATCAACATTTTCATGAGTTAATGTGATTCTTCCTGCCCAGGTAATATATTTGCATTTTAACTGCGATCAGGGGATAATTTCTGCTTTAAGATTGTTCAGGCCAACAGTGCAGGTCAGTGGAGGCTGTATTTTTAATCGGAAGCCCTGGGAGACTCTCAAGTCACACAGCATTTAGGCAGCGATCTAGTCTTCCCACATGTACTATCATTTGACTTTTAAAGTCCAGATTCCAATGGCACAAGTGGGGCTGGTGGAGGTTCATCTTTCCTTGTATGTGCTGATTGGTCCACTAGGAGAGTCTGAGGTTTCGGAAGCTCCTGGCTACACATGTTCTGAATAATGAGACTATGTTTAGATGGTGTGGTGTTCAAAGGAAGCTGGCATTTTGATGTCTCTGTGCACGTGCCAGCTCTCCTCAGCTTCCCCTGCCCCCTATTTCCACATTTAAAACTGATTTAAATTTTTTATTGTGGTAAAAATATATATATAACAAAACATTTGCCATTTCAACCTTTTTACCTGTACAATTCAGTGACATTAATTATGTTGTAAAACTATCATGATTATCCATTTTTAACTTCTTCTGTCACCCTTAATAGAAGTTCATTGCCCCCAGAGCAATGACTTCCCCTTTTTCCCTTTCCCCTGGTAGCCATTAATTAACTGTGGTCTCAATACATTGACCAAGTTCTAGATATTTCATATAAATGGAATCATGTAATATCTGTCCTTTTATGACTGACTTATTTCACTCAGCATAATGTTTTCAAGATTCGTCTGTGTTGTAATGTTTGTCTGGACTTCACTTCTTTTTGTGGCTGAGTAATACCCCACTGTGTGGATTTACCTCATCTGGTTTATCTTTGCACAGGTGGTTGTTGCCTAAATGGCCAACTGGGTTGCTTCTCCCCCTCCTCAGCTTCTGATTCATTACAGCTCTGATTAGCAGTGAGAGAGGCACAACAAAATCAAAACCAAACTCACTGCCATTGAGTCGATTCTCACTTATAGTCACTGCCATTGGTTTTCCAAAGTGGTAAATCTTTATAGAAGTAGATTGCCCCATCTTCCTTTCACAGAGCAGCTGCTGGGTTTGAACCACCAACCTTCTGATTAGCAGTCAAATGCCTTAGGCAGTACACCACCAGAACTCCTTGAGAGAGGCACAGGTCCAGGGGGAAATGTGTGGTTTAAGACTTGTCCCCTTCTCAGACCACCCAGGTCGGCCCTCAACTTTCACTTCCTCTCAAGTCACATCAGAAAGTCTATCATGCGTATGTGAAGGAAACTTCAGCACAGTAATGGAATGTAAGTTTAGTTTTGATTCTGAGTCCTGGAAGGGGGGTGAGGTGGGAGGAGGGGGACATCTTAGGAGATTTACCTTCAAGATGCTATTCATCCTTTTAGAAAGTATTATGAAAACATAATAGATAGACATTCAGAACTGGGTACTGGTGCAGAATGACTTCTATGGGCTAATGAGTTGTTTACAGCTAATTTCAAGTCCCACTTGCATGGGACTCAGTGGACATTTGGAAATGAAACCAAGAAAACCACCTGTATTTAGTGGGCAGGGGCCAAGGATGCCAAGTATCCACAGTGAAGATCTCTTCTACCCCAAATGCCAATGCCTTCCTTGTTTTAAAGTGGGTTTTTAAAGCCTGTCACTTGAAAAAAAGAGAATAAAAATTATTGACTGCATGGACAAAAGAGAAAGCTAGAAATGGCACAAATCATTCAACCCTTTTATTCACCCACTCCTGATCCCAGGATAGACATTCAGGGTCCAGATGCATAGTCTTGGGCCTGTGTGTGACTTCCAGAGGATATGATGTTAATGGCTGTTCCTGGTTCATGAAGTTCAGCTGCCTGGGTCCTCATCTTTCCTGTCCCAGGGAGTGCTAGGGTAGGATAGTGGGTTTCAGAGCGACGTTTTGATGAGATGAGTGATGACCAGCTCAGTGGCTCACATGGACTCAGGCTCAGTTCTTTCACAGGCCTGCCACCTGCACCCACGTCCACCCACCTGAGAACTGACTTCTCACCGGAAGCCAGTGTATGGAAAGTGAGATGCTTATTTCTCATGGTGTTTTCTCAGAAAACTCAGATAGAAGAGAGAGAGTCCAACCGGCATTGGTTCAACTGCTTTATCTTACTTAGGGAGATAAGCTTAATAAGAACACTCTCGGCTGGGGCCTGATGACCAGAGCAAAGTTAGTTTTTGATTTATGAGTACACTTACTATCTATACTCTGAACATCCACATGGCTTCAGTTTCTAGAAGGTAGAAAATCCATCTACAAGGAAAACAAAACAAAACAAAACAAACAAAAAAACAAGAACAACTCATGCTCAGGCTGAAACTTGCTTCCTCTTTCTTTATCTCAGTGCCAAGGTTAGAGAACCACAAGAGATCTTTAAAACATAACCTCTGCACACATTCTTAGAAAAGAGCTCTGGGAACTGTGTAAGCAGGTCAGGTGGGCTGTGCTCCTTGCTAGAGTTACTAACGGAACCACTGAGTGTTATTTTAAGCTGTAGTTAACTTTCAGTGAGAAGTCTGAAGGGAGGATGAAATGCATATGAATAAAGGGGGAATTTGTCTTTCTTTGATTGGAGAAAATGAATGGGGCAGAGTCCTTTGCTGTGTCTGAGTGGGAATGGCCTATATCACCCAGTTCTTGCTCCTCCTGCTTTTGTTGGGTGAGGATAAAGGAATAACTGAGCTACCAGAGTCAGAAAGGCAACCATGACCTTCGCTTTACACATGCCATCAGCGCTTTATGTGTCTGCCTCTACCCACTCCAGCTAAATTCTTGAGAGCAAGGATCTCTTCATTTTGTATCCATAGACCGACTATAGTGCTGGTTTATAGTAGGTGTGCAGTAAATGTTTCCTGAATAAATAAATGAATGAAATTGAGGCAAAAAAAAAAAAAAAGAAAAAGAAACAACACACACACAAACTCACTGCCATTGAGTTGATTCCAACTCATAGCAACCCCCATTGGGTTTCAAAGGCTGTAAGTCTTTATGGAAGCAGACTCCTTCATATTTCTTCCATGGAGTGGCTAGTGGGTTCAAACCACTGATCTTTTGGTTATCAGCCAATTGCCTTAACCACTACCAGAGCTACTGAAGTTGAGGCCAGTGGTTCTCAACTTCTGCTTGCATCAGAATAATCTGTGGAGCTTGTTAAAATACATACTCCTGGGCCCCACACCCAGAGTATCTGGTCTGTGGGTCTGGGGTGGAGGCTAGAATTTGCATTTCTAACAAGTCCCCAGGTGATGCTGAAGCTGCTGGCCAGGGACCACACACTGAGAGAACCGGTGTTATAGACTGGTCTCCGGGGCTGGCTCTGGTTAGCACAACTGAGCCCTTTGTTGAAATAAAGAACTCACTGGTGAATTGATGGCTGTGAAAGAACAAACCAAAAAACCAAAGCCACTGCCATCAGGCTGATTCTGGCTCACAGTGAGCCTATAGGACAGATCAGAACTGCTACATAGGGTTTCCAAGGCTGTAATCTTTAAGGAAGCAGACTGCTACATCTTTCTTCCAAGGAGCTGCTGGTGGGTTTGGAGTACTGAATTTTTGGTTAGCAGCTGAGTGCTTTAACCACTGCACCACAAAGATGCCTTCAGAAAGAACACTGGACTTGAAATCTAAGGACCAAGGCTTGAGTTCTGGCTTTGCTGTTTGTGAGCAGTGGTACCCTGATCTTTGTGAGTTGATTTCCTTATGGGACTAAGAACTGTGTGATCCACCTGAGAGCTGCCCCACCCAATTGCTGTGAGAACCAAATGAGAATACATATGTGAAGATAGTTGGTAAATGCAGAGGTCAGATGTAAATTATTATAGGAACAGAACTTGATCAAGCTTCTTGCCTTTTATGAGCTGAATAAAGATTTAACTATAAAAGAATGACAAATATGACAGGGAAGTAGGGCAAATACAAGTGAAATAATTAGAGCAGATATTCAGACAGGGTGTAACAAAGTTTGAATTGTTTTGTCCATAAAAGGGCTCTAGAAGTTCAGATGAGTATGTGTGTGTATGCATGCCTGTATGCATGCATGTGTGTGTGATATAACTGATTGGGTTCTTGGCATTTTCATGACTAGAGATTTTCCTGCTAGGTCCTCTTTTGGGCGCATAGTATGCATATTCCCTTCAATGGTTAAATCTAAGTTCTCGGGTCCCATCTTTTCTCTCCTGCAGGGGATGCTCTAACTTACCACAATGGATGGAAGTTTACCACTTTTGACAGAGACAATGACATTGCCCTCAGCAACTGTGCCCTGACGCATCATGGTGGCTGGTGGTACAAGAACTGCCATTTGGCCAACCCCAATGGCCGATATGGGGAGACCAAGCACAGTGAGGTAGGTGACAGGCACACATCTCTTTTGTCCCTTCTCCTGTACATGTGAGCCCCCAAAGAGACAGTTTCTAGATTAGTTTGGCTGTTTCTCTCCTTCTCATGTTTCTAATCAGGGCAGTAGAGCTTCTCCTTCAGGTTCTGTGGTCTTGAGGTCATGGGCCTCCCTGACCATGTGCCGTGACCTGTCTGCATGCCCACTATTGCTCAACATTTGCTTAGGAGCAGAGCTCAGGCTGCCCACTTCTGTATAACAGCAGATGATGGGGGTCACACATTGTGCCATTTGACCTATCCGTACATGGACGCTTCATAACTCTTTCTAGTTGCTCTCCTCGTTAGACCAGAATTATTTTCCTCAAGTCCTTGGATTCCAGGTACAATAGAGTCCTTTCTGCCTCAGGTCAGACTCACCCTTGGATGTAGTTCACCCAGAGCTACTCAAAGTCTGCATAGTAGAACAAAACAAAAGAAAACAAAAAACAGTTGCTCTGCAATTGATCTCAACTCATGGTGACCTCATGTATGTCAGAGTAGAACTGCACTCCATAGAGTTTTTGGTGAAAACTCTAAAATAGAAGTATATTGCCAGGAATTTCTTCCAAGGCACTTCTGGGTAAATTCCAACTTCCACCAGTTTGGTCAGCAGCCATGTGTGTTAACTGTTTGTACCACCATGAATACCAGTCTGCCCACTGCGTTGTGCTAAACCAGTCTCCATGTCAGAAGTGTGCATACCAGAGCTAAGAGTCCATGAGGGCTCCTGTCCCCTCCTTGGCTCTGAAACTTTACTGTGAGCAATTTCTCCCACCTTCATGATCTGTGCACCCCATCTGGACTCCTCACCAGCTACTGGGCATCTCCTGCCTGCTTTCTTGCAGCTTCTCAAAAATCACATCTTTGTTCCTATTCATCATCAATCTGCCATCTTCCATGAACCCTTGGAGTCCCCATCCTGAATTTCTCATTTCCCATTCTAGCCCCCAGGAAGCCACCTCTCCCCTGAACTCACTCCGTACCAGTATTACTGTAAAAGCTAGCACATCTAAAGTATAGGTACATATTGATTACTTTGGCCCTGGCCAGGCTGCAGGGACTGCCAATCCTTGTGTGATTTTTCAAATGGAAGAAGAAATTTCCCCTCAGGGAAACCAAGGAGGGTGGGCCCATGAATCATTCTGGCAGCTTGTGGGCTGGCTCAGGGAAGCCTGTGATCAGAGATCAAATATTTGAAATGAGCAGCTAGCGTGCCCCGAACCGTCCTGATATTTGCTAATAAAAGACATTCATCTGGTTAATGTGCTTTCCACAGTCTGCAAGGCATTTAGCTGCTTGTTTATTATTTACCTCACAAATTAAAATACGTAAAATTGGTCACTTGGGCTCTTTATTGGCCAGGTTGCAAGGTTATTAAGTGAATTAAATATTATTGCGCTCACCAGTCAAAAGACATAAAATGAAATTTAGTTTTCAGCGGGCTATTTGTTACCCCAGAGCTAATATCCAAACAATCTAAATTGAAAATGATTTTACACAATTGGCCAATTAATATGTTTATTTTTGCCTTTTATTTATTTATTTTTTGGAAGGAAAAGAGGAGAGCAAAGATAATTTGATCATTGCTGGCCAGGTTGACCCAAGTGATCTTTGCCTTTCGCTGGCTTCATCCGCCTTCTGGACTCACACCCTCATCCTCCTATGCAGGCTTGGAGGCCAGTTGGCTTCCAAGTCATCCGTCTGTCTAACCCCAGCTGCCCAGCAGAGGGCGCATTTTTTTGAGCTTGACCCTTATCTCCCTTATGGTACACTTCCCTCTGCCTTTCACCATTTGTTTCTCTTTTTCTCTGTTTAAGGCATTTGACTGCTAACCAGAAGGTTGGTGGTTCAAACCTACCAGCCACTCCACAGAAGGAAGATGGGGCAATGTACTTCCATAAAGATTTATTACCTCAGAAACCCAAAGGGAGTCACTATGAGTTGGGATAGACTCTATGGCAGTGAGTTTGGTTTTGGTTTGGAAGCAGAGAAAGGGAGTCCCTGGGTGGCACAGTTAAGAAAGTTTCTCAGTTTGAGAACCTTTTGGAAAAACAAGCCAACAAACAAAAAACAGCCAGGGAAAACCCTGTGGAACACAGTTCCACTGTGACACACACGGGGTCACTGTGAGTTGGCATTGACTTTTTTAAGCAGAGAGGGAGTGGTTTCACTGGCCAAGGAACATTTCCTCATACCGTAACCCACCCCACTACTTCTCAAATGCCTCTTCTTGATGTTGGCTTCTTTATGCAGGGAGTGAACTGGGAGCCATGGAAAGGACATGAATTCTCCATTCCTTATGTGGAGTTGAAAATCCGCCCACATGGCTACAGCAGTGAGCCTCTCCTGGGCAGAAAGAAGAGGACACTTGGAGGAAAGACAAGAACATTCTGATGGCCCATTTGAGCAATTGCTGCATGAGTGAGACCAGCCCGGGTTGGGGCTGCACAGTCCTGGGGTGGGGCAGATGGTGGTGACTGGCGAATGGCAGTTTGAAAGACTCTCAGCCTCTAGTTTCTGAGATCTTTGGATTATCTGTAGGGCCTGTGTGGTTCAAAGCATATCACTAAACTTCAAGCCACAGATGTCCCTGCCCTGCACCTGCTTTATTGCCCATCTGATACTATCTATACTGGAGGCCCTGAATATCAACAATACAGTTGATGCACAGTGTGCATAAGTAGGACAGAACTGGAAGTGCATGGTTTCTCAGCCTATCTCCAGTAACAGATATACTTGATTAAAAGAAATGTCCAGTATTTCACCTATTAGAAAGTTCTAGATTTTTTTTTTTTTTTTTTTTTTAAAGCTCTCCTAATACTAATCTTCCCTCTGGAGAGAAGCACCAAAGAGGGGTTCTAATTACCAAGGGGTGAAGGCTGAGGTAGCTTGATGCTTGTTACTTGCCTGTTCCCATTGAGTTTTGAGGAAAAAGGTATAAATCGCCTCCTTCCTTTCAATTGCTGGTGCTTTGAGGAAGAATAAACGGAACAAAAAGAGGCCCAGATGGATTCGCTTTTAGCTAATACTGACTAGTACTTAGCATGCTGGAAAGCAGAGCTGCCACGTTCCTGCTATTTTTAAGTGCCCCCTTTCCAGGTATTTGCATAATCACTTTCATAGATCTGCAGATGTTGTGAATAAATTCTCACTCATTTTAACTTCATAAAATTTGACTCTCTTGATAATTGGTTCCTCCCAAAGACTCTTCTATGACTCTCTTTCCTGTCCCTCAAGCCCTCAGCCTCCCTCCTCCCTGGGTTCCCCACAGTGTTGACCCCTGGGTTTTCTGGAGTCCCTTAGTACTGGGGCGCTTACTGTTTGGAGACTTGGCAAGGTCAGAGCCTTTTTGCTTATTTCCCTATCATTGGGGAAGAATTTCTGTAGCGAATACAATGACCATTGAAATAACTTAAATTCCTATTCAAGAAAAAAAAAATAGTAATAAACCACTTGATTTGAAAAAATTTGCCTTGTATTATTTTCTTCACTTAAGTGCACTTGAATTCTAAATTTAACCTAAGTGCAAGTGAAGGTACAATTTGTGCATTATAATGGAATGTGGTTGGCTGTGGTCTCTTTCTTGCATGATGGCAAATAATAACATTGGGAATTTCAGAGGAGGGAGTGAGTGGTAAGGAAAACAGGTGCCATAAAATCTGTAGTCCTTCTCCAGGACTGTGGTGGAGTTTATTGCTTTGATTTCTCCAGGTTTTAGCTTCTGGGTGAATGCCAAGCCATACTCCCAAAACATTGTTTGTCAACCTTTGATGTTTTCAGCAAGGGGCAGTGGTGGTTCTGTGGTAGAATTCTCTGCTTCCATCGTGGAGCCCTGGATTTGATTTCCTCCCAGTGAACCTCATGTGGGGCCATCATTTGACTGTCAGTGGAAGCTTTTGGGTTGCTCTGATACTGAACAGGTTTCAGCAGAGCTTCTAGATTAAGACAGACTAGGAAGAAAGTCCTGGTCATCTATTTCTGAAAATGAGTCAGGGAAGACCCTATGGATAACAACAGTTTGATCTGCAACTGATCATGGGGATGGGGCATATGGTAGTTCAGTTTGTGTGTCAACTTGGGTGGGCCTGGTTGAGTGGCTGGGCAGCTGGTGGTAGTTATTCCCCATGATGACACTGGCAATCAGCTCCATGGTGGGATCTACCACAAGCAGCTGCCTTTGGGATGTGGTCTGCTTCCTGTAGTTAAGCAGAAGCCTTGGGAAATGTTCTCTAGCTTATGGCATGCATGGGCTCTGTATGTTGTCGTGTCGTTCAGCAGCCTGCTACACTCTGCTGACCTTGGGACTTAAAACAAACTTGAATTAATGGCCTGCTGGGTTGTTTGGTAACATTGGGACTATGCCTTTTACTTGTCAACCTTGGGCTTCTCAGCCTCAGCAGCCAGCAGCTGTCTGAGTGAAGAAACGCCTCTAGTTCCAGTGGGCCAGGAGCAGGAGGCAGAGCTGGACCCCCAGGTTGAGGGGTTTTCCCCCAGCCCCTAGAGCCTGGCACTTTGAACTTGAATTTAAAGCCTCCAAACTGTAAGAGAATAAACTGTTTTTTAAGGCCATCCCATTTGTGGTATTTTCTGTTAGAGCGGCCCTAGGTAATCAGAATAGGGCAGTACTGAGCAGCATTTAATTTTGTTTCGCAAGGGGTTGCCATGACTCTGGGGCCAACTCAACAGCAACTAATAACAACAAGAAAGTTTTCAGCTCTTTTCTCCCTAGCACATAGTGAGCAATGCCACAATAACTGCTAGATCTGATAATCAGTGACTTAAATGAAGTATAATCTCAGTGTTGTGCTTACATGTTGTACATTGATTCCGTAAGAATTTACTAAGTGTCTGCCTGCTCTGTTCCAGATTGTGTGCTAGGCACTGGGGAAACAAGTCAGCCACAGAGGTGAAACCACAGAGGTGAGCAAGCCAGATATGGTTTTGTGCTTTGATTGATTGATTGATTGATTCATTCATTCATTCACTCACTCATTCAACAAATATTGGTTACACCCTGTTCTGCTAGTTTCTGTTCTAACCACTGGTGTAGAAAAAGAACAAAACAATCTTCCTGCCTTCCTGCTTTTATTCTAGTGATGGAGATGGACAGTAAACAAGTAAACAAACAAATGTATAATTTCAGGGAGTGATAAGTGCAGAGGAAGAAGTAGAAAGCAGAGTGAAGGGCTAGAGAGTGGCGACTGATGGTGGAGTGTTTTGTGACTGGGGCAGTGTTTTATGAAGGGAGTCTTGTAGAGGTCTTTCACATGAGGAGATTTTTATGCAGAGACCCACTGGGTTTCTTCTGTTCTTGATCCAGCTTTGTCAGGGTCTGAGCCCAAGACTGTCTTCTCATCTGTCTTAAAGGTCCCTCCTACAACTTCCAGAAGGAGTCTCCTTCCCTTCTGCTGTGTCCCTGACCTTGTTTGCATGTTGAGTGCTCACCTTGCTGACTCAAACCTTGTGCTCATCCCAGTGGCTTTAAGCTTTTTAGAAAAATATCTTCTTTGTAAAGTGGATCCAAACCCAGAGCCTCATTTAGAGCCAGGGATGGTGGGCCATGCTTCCCAATTAATAATCTGCCTGTTAAACGTGCCGGTTGAAACCAGATTGCTGGGCCCCATGCCCAGTCCAGCTGGTATAGTAGGTCTGGCCTGGGGGCTGCTGCTGAACTGTAGGCTACACATTGAGTGGCTCTAGTGTATTCAGCGGTAAAGATCTCACTTTTCATGTGGCATCCCCGACTTCAGTCCCTGGCCAGTGCCCCTTGTGCCAGTGCACCCATCTGTCAATGGAGGCCTGTGTGTTGCTATGATGCTGAACAGGTTTCAGTGGAACATCCAGGGTAAGATAGACTAGGAAGAAAGGCCTGGCAGTCTGCTTCTGAAAACCAGCCATGAAGACCCTGTGCATCACAGTAGTCTGATCTGCAACCAGTTAGGGGGAGAGTGCATTTTGTTTTGTTGTATATGGAGTCCTGATGAGTTGAGGGCCAACTCCATGGCAGTTAGCAACAGCAGCTCTCGTGCAGAAGGCCGCGGTTGACCTTTAGCTCTGATGAGACTGTTATGGCAGTAGATTACAAAGTACATACTCTTGTGTTCACTGACCCCAGCATTTTCCCACCACTGACCAAGAAGAGGACTTGCGAGAAACTGGAGTTATTCCTTCCTTTCTTTTGCCGGTAGGACCAATGCTGCTTTGAAGACAAGGGGTGGAGACAACCCTAGCTGACCCTTCAAGAATTCTGCTGGGGGCAGTGTAGTGCCTTGGGAAGCTCATATTTAAAGAGTGTTTGAGAAAAACATTCCAGCCCTAAACCTGTGCCTAATCTCATTTTAACGTGATCAGAGCTGGCAGCTCCCACTCTGGTAGCTGAATACAGACTCAAGGAATGAGTTTCTGGGAGACCTGCTTTGCAGAGGGCCACTTTTCTTGGAGCCAGGTTAGGAGCCGTCAGACCTTTGAAGCTTACAGGGGCAATTCCTACTCATTTAGGGCAAACCAAAGCAAACAAAAGTTGTCATAAATGGACAGGCTGTACGCCAGGTACTAGGGTAGAATCGAGGAGAGAAGTAGCACGAGAATTTGATAATGTTCCCAAGGCATTGCCTATTATGTGCAAGGCACTAGCATCTGCATGGTGAATATCAAAACAAAAACAAAAACAAAAAACCAAACTCACTGCTGTGGAATAGGATCCAACTCCTAGTGACCCCTCCTTGGGTTTCCCAGGCGGTGTCACCATGAAAGTAGATTGCCCAACCTTCCTTCCCAGAAGTGACTGGTGGGTCTGAACTGCCAGCCTTCTGGTTAGCAGTCAAATGCTTTAGGCACTACGCCACCAGAGCTCCTGAGGGTTGAATAGCAGGGGCGAATTATCCAATAAGCAAGGAAAGCACAGGCTCACTTGTGCTTGCTTAGTAATCTATAGTGAACAATTTCACCAGTTTCACGTTTTTCACCCCAGATGTGGTAAAGCCCATGTGAAATTGTTCATTAATGAGTACTAAGTAAGCACAAGTAAGCCCGTGCTTACCTTGCTTACTAACTAGGTACTCTGTTGCTGTCAGGGATTAGATATTTGAAAAGAGGCTTCCTTTTGTAGGAAGGTCCTGTGAGGTTGGGATAAAGACAGATAGCAGCCATATCCAGAAACAGAATCTTTGATGTGGTAAAGAAATGTGAAATTATTCACTACAGGTTGGTAAATAAGTACAAGTAAGCCTGTGCTTACCTCACTTATTGGGTAATCTGACAATGATGAACAGAACATAGCCCTTGCCCTTGAGAAGTTGGCAGTGTGGTGGGGAGAAAGCGTGGGAACCAATCATGACAGCACACAGGAGAGCAGCGCCCCGAGAGCAAAGCAGGGTGACTAATCTGGCCTGGGG